AAAAAAAAAATAATACAAAGATACAACAAAAAATTTAAAAAAAACAATAACAAAAAACCCTCACTTTTTGTAGACTGCCCTCTTGGTCCCCGTCTGCACAATGGTGTTGAGACAGTAGTCGAGTCCTTGACCACATGAAGTCGCTTTGTTCAGGATCAGCTCGATAGTGCCACACGGCGTACTGCTTGCGTCATTCCCGCACTGGACACACTGGCGAGGGGCTGGAGGTTCGGGCCCGCCAGTCGGGAGTTGAAAAAGGTTGACGTGAAAGAATTATCAGCATTTTTGTGTTTGTTACTCTTGTAACACTTCTAATCCTCGGTTCTTATATGAGCCTTTTTTGTTGTTGTTGCAAGTGCCGTAACATTTTTACTAAAACTTTACCCCCTCCCCCCCCCACCCACAAAAGCAACAAACAAACCCCCCAAAACATGAGCGGACGAGGTCATGTTCCATGATACAAGCTGACAGCAGCGGGACTACACACGTGTTACGCTCCCTTGGACACAATAACTTTATAACTAACCAAAGATCGTGTATAACAAGATAGTTCACTCCTCTCTTTGAGCAAATTAAAAAGTGTCCTCAAAATTCGGTGGCGCCTTCTTCGAAAAAAGGCGGACTTTGCAAACCGAGTTATCTTACTTGTGTGAAAAACAATAAAAGTGAAACTAACAAACTGTGCTATTCCTATTCTTCTTCTGGAGAAACGAAAGAGAGCTTCAAGGGCACCAATGATTTATTTATAGAGGCACCAGCCATCCATGTCCAGGTGCCAGAGCTTCAAAGCAAAGGCTGCAGCGCCATCTGAAGCAATGCGCGGACTTCCGTGGACACTTTTTTGGTTGAGTGAACAATCTTGTCATGTACGATCTTTGCAATAACTGAGGAGATCAGGATCGAATTCGCTACCAGTATCCTAGAGTTACAACGTTATATTCTGCCAGAGAGTATTTAATTATATTTTAGTGTCTCTGATTCTGCTCAGTTCCTAGTTTTGAGAAATACATGTATGACGTCAAAAATTTTGAGCTTCCCAGCATTCTTTTTCGAACGCAATTCTTTAAACATCTTTATCATACAGTTTTGACAACGATTTTGATAGAGCAAGTAGGAAATTTGGTGTCTAGCCTCGTGGTCGTATTAAGTCAAAACGGCCAAAAACATCAAATAAAACTCTGTGTAATTCTAAGGTAGCTAATTTTCACTGAAATTCAAACCGAGATATCAGCAAAATAGCCGGTGAGGTCAATTCTGGTCGATTGATTTTGAGCTATGCAGGGGATTCCCCAACCATTTTAGAATATCCATGTAATTCAAGAGCTATTTTTCTAAAAAGTACTAATTTTTGGGGGGCAATTCCTTTTCCATTTACATTCAGACATTTAGAAAAAATAAAGGTGTAACTTTATACATGTGCGCGGTTTTTTCCATTTCTTTCTTTTTTGCCTTTTGTTACCACAAAACGCAATATCCCAGCTTCTAGAAAAGATAACTGAAACTTTTAAACTGCATGATAATCAGAGAGATCCGAGCTTTTAGAAAAGCACAAAAACTCAAAATTGCTCAAAGGCGAGTTTCCTCAAACCGGCTCACAAAATTACTATGTGCTACGGCACGCTGGTATCTAGTGCTCGTTAGTCTTTTGGATATCATGTTATATGGAATATAT